TTTTGAACCAAATAATTTTTAGAATTAGTATTAGTATCAATAATTTCTGAATTTAACAAATAATTAATACTTATTATTCGGTCCAAGTAAATATTTATTTGATAATAGTCAATTAACTGAATTATTTCAAATATAATTTTTTTAGATTCATTATGGATATAAATTAAATTTGATTTTTATTATATTTGAAAACTGTACTAAATCGTCGTTTATCACGTAAAGTCAAAAAAACAGAATGACACTAAAACTAAGAAAAATATGGCCAAAAATGGAACTATATAGGGTATATTTGACGTCGTTCAGTCGGAACTTAAGGTTCATCACTCACGTGCGAACAAACTTTATATCCCAAGCATCGTTTTACGGGGTGACGTTGCAAGTGCGATTTTACAACCTTTGGTGCAGATTAATCTCACTCCACGTATTTTCAAGAATGAAGTGTTAAAAAAAGCCACGAGAGATACGTGACGTTTTTTTTAAAAAAAACAGAAAAACGCTTTTGGCTTTTTTTTCATTGAAAAAAATTGATATTATTAAAAATAAAACTATATTTTCAAATTAATTATAATTATAAAAAATCGATGATGAAAAAAAAAAAATTCTAGACAGTATAAATTTTCAATGGAGGACGAAAGGTGTGATATCAGATCCGGTTTTCGCCCCAATTTTTTTTTTTTTTTTTTTTGTAACGCCTCAACTTTTCAAGTGTGTAGCCTGTTCGATGCAAAGGCGCGATTTCCTTCTCTCAACTATAGTAAGATGGAGTTTAAAGTGTTATGAATAATAAAGCGAGATGAGTTACAAGCAGCTGAGATCTTATCGGTGCCACTGTCAACATCCAACTAATATCACGTACAACGGTGGCAGGTTAATTGAAACGGTCTCAGGTTCTAAGCAGCATTTTGAAGAGCTTAAATCACGTTCGCACAACATTGCACGATCCCCATATATATATATATAAAGCTTCTATAAAGCTCTAAAACTTTCAACCTTTCGACCTATTCTCCACCGCGAGAATCGACAGACCGGTCTGTGATTGGTTAAGAACTTGCGGAAAGAAAACCTATATATATATAGATAGAGAATAGGCTATTACATGTCATTGTGATTTATTCGAGTTGCATGCTTCTTCACAGAAAGGCAAGTTACGACTTTCTGTTTACGAAAAGGGCAAAAAGAAAATCAAATTGAAAGATTTAACAACTCGAGCGACTCTTTTATTGAATTCAAAATTTGATTAAGGTTTCCTTTTTTTTGAAATTAAAAAAAATAGAACAAGAATTCAAAAAAAAAGGTTTTAAAAACATTTTAAAAGAAAATTATCAAAATAAATAAAAATATACACACAGAGAAATTTGTCTCACAGCCTAATAAATATTTATTTGATTCAAATAAATTTTTATTTGATTTAATTAAATTTTTATTTAATTTAAATAAAAAAATTTTATTGACACCAAATAGGGCTAGTAGGCTGTGAGACAAATATATACGTTTATTTAACTCAAATATATATTTGGTTCAAATAAAACATTTCTCTGGGTGTAATAATTATTTGGTTCAAGTAAATATTTATTTGATAATATAGTCAAGTAATCGAGTAATTGAATCAAATAAATTTGTTGTTTTTCAGTGTAAAAGATTTAGTTAATTTAGGAAAATATATTGGAAATTAGAATTCGATAGAGGAAAATAATTGTGCAATTAAAATAAACGTGAAATTCTATTCATCTGTTGGTCATTATCACTTTTGTAAATAGACCACAAGGGAGATTTTGGTATAATAGTAAGATTATTCTGAAAAAGAAGCGCACACCGGCAAACGTTGCATATTCTATGGGGGCTAAAACCTTTTTCTCGAATTCGCTGATGCAGCCATGCTGATCACGACTTTGGTTCACTCTCTCTCTCTCACTATCTCTCTTTTCATTCTCCGCCCTCCGAAAAAAGTTTCAGCTCGTTTTCAAAGTCCTCTCGCTCTACGATCCAGGTGGGAGAACGTGTCGACAAGTCGTTAGGAGACTCGAAAGAATTACGTTGGGTTGTAAACTTGAATTTCCAAAGCAAGACCCACGTCGCGAAAGGATAGTAGCGCATAAATTTTCTGTTTCAAGCGCGCGCCCAACGAGAGTCCTCCTTTCTTTGTATGTGTGTGTGTGTGTTTCTAGTTTTCTTCTTTTCTCTATTCCAACAAACTTTGAAAAATTTTCCACTGTTCATATAGATGTGCAATAAAATTTTTTATTCGGAAACTTTACGACTAACTTTATGCAAACAGAATTTACAGTTATTGTAACAAACAATGGTGGTTTTATTGTTCTTTATATATATATATATAGTAACTAAATTATCGTAAATTGGTATTACAAATTTTATTTGAATATTTTTTTCATATTTGTTATTTTAATTTTTTTTTTCGACGTAATGGAATTTATTTTACAATGAAAACAAAAATTTATATGATTCAAATAATTGGTTACTTGACTATATTGTCAAATAAATATTTATTTGAAGTAAATAATTTTTATTTGAATTAAATAAATTAAAATGATTTTTTATTTGAAACAAATATTATTTAATTGACTCAAATAATAATAGCGAATTTAAATTTAAAATTTCGAAATTTTTTGTCCACTTTGGTTCATTCTAGGTAGGATGCTGTTCGTCCATTCAAAAATCGACCAAATAGACCAAAAATGGACTGTCCCAAGATGGTGCAATATCTTGAGATACCTCCTGTGGTATTCCCGATATTTTATCTCGAAAATTTCGAAATTTTTTGTCCACTTTGGTCCATTGTAACTCGGATGCTGTTGGTCCATTCAAAAATAGATCAAATGGACCAAAAACAGATTTTCCTAATATGATGCAATATATTCAGATATCTTTTGTGATATCCCCGAGAGTTTATCTCGAAAATTTAAAATTTCGAAATTTTTTGTCCACTTTGGTCCATTGTAGCTCGGATGCTGTTGGTCCATTCAAAAATAGATCAAATGGATCAAAAATAGATTTTCCTAAAATGGTGCAATATATTCAGATACCTTTTGTGATATTCCCGAGATTTTATCTCGAAAATTTAAAATTTCGAAATTTTTTGTACACTGGTTTATTCTAGGTCGGATGCTGTTGGTCCATTCAAAAATCGACCAAATAGACCAAAAATGGACTGTCCCAAGATGGTGCAATATCTTGAGATACCTCCTGTGGTATTCCCGAGATTTTATCTCGAAAATTTAAAATTTCGAAAATTTTTGTCCACTTTGGTCCATTGTAGCTTGGATGCTGTTGGTCCATTCAAAAATAGATCAAATGGACCAAAAATGGACTGTCCCAAGATGGTGCAATATCTTGAGATACCTCCTGTGGTATTCCCGAGAGTTTATCTCGAAAATTTCGAAATTTTTTGTCCACTTTGGTTCATTCTAGCTCGGATGCTGTTGGTCCATTCAAAAATAGATCAAATTGGTCAAAAATAGATTTTCCTAAAATGGTGCAATATATTCAGATACCTTTTGTGATATTCCCGAGATTTTATCTCGAAAATTTAAAATTTCGAAATTTTTTGTCCACTTTGGTCCATTGTAGCTCGGATGCTGTTGGTCCATTCAAAAATCGACCAAATAGACCAAAAATGGACTGTCCCAAGATGGTGCAATATCTTGAGATACCTCCTGTGGTATTCCCGAGATTTTATCTCGAAAATTTAAAATTTCGAAATTTTTTGTCCACTTTGGTCCATTGTAGCTTGGATGCTGTTGGTCCATTCAAAAATAGATCAAATGGACCAAAAATGGACTGTCCCAAGATGGTGCAATATCTTGAGATACCTCCTGTGGTATTCCCGAGAGTTTATCTCGAAAATTTCGAAATTTTTTGTCCACTTTGGTTCATTCTAGCTCGGATGCTGTTGGTCCATTTAAAAATAGATCAAATGGATCAAAAATAGATTTTCCTAAAATGGTGCAATATATTCAGATACCTTTTGTGATATTCCCGAGATTTTATCTCGAAAATTTAAAATTTCGAAATTTTTTGTACACTGGTTCATTCTAGGTCGGATGCTGTTGGTCCATTCAAAAATCGACCAAATAGACCAAAAATGGACTGTCCCAAGATGGTGCAATATCTTGAGATACCTCCTGTGGTATTCCCGAGAGTTTATCTCGAAAATTTCGAAATTTTTTGTCCACTTTGGTTCATTCTAGCTCGGATGCTGCGTTGGTCCATTCAAAAAGTGCTCTATAAATCTCTTTAGACAAGTACTTTTCTGTTTATTAAAATTTATTTATTTTAAAATATTTTTATTCTTATAAATAAAATAAGTAGACACTCTCGCGATCGTTTTTGTTTTTTTTTTTTTTTTATAAAGCGAACTGCATTATATGCGACGTTGCAGTAGCAGACAGTCGAAGACGGAGACGACAATTCTGTCGGAGGACAAACAATGGCTGAAAGAGCTCTTTCCACGCCTGCCGGCAAATACGGGCCCTCATTAACGCACTTACCCCTAATTATAGCGCTCGAGACACTCTCTTGACTCAACTTCGAGCCAACCCTCTCTCGTAGCACTCTTTAATTTGGCTTTCATACCAACTAAATATTTAGCACCCCTATCATCCAAAATTCAAGGTTTTCATTTTAAATATACCATCAGCATTTCATTACAAAAAAAAATATATTTAGGTGGAAACTTTTTTTTTATTTTGTAAATTATGAATGTAGTTTCTTTTTGGTTATTCGATTACTTTAGGTTTAGTCTCGATGCGACATTTATTTTTGTCAAATTTGGAAATGAAATTTTTTATAGCTTTCTATATTTTATTATTCCGGTGCAAAATTTCAGTACTTGTCAATCATTTCGTTTCGAAAATTTTTGAATTTCATTGTCTAGAAATTATTGTCAGTTTATTTTAATTTTATTTTTAAGTATAAAATAATTATTAAATAAAAATCTTATAAAATGAATTTTAATTAATTAGAAAATTAATTTGTTTTTGCAGATTCTATCCTCGATGGCTTGAAGGACACAAAATTCTCCAGTTGCAGGCTTTTTAGAACTCGGTCTATTTTTACGGTTATTTTTCACATTTTCCGAATGGAAATTTAACTTGAAAGTAGGGATCTCCGAGGGCTATTTAGTTTGAAAGAATCTCCTTGAAGCTGAAAATTCGTTATTAAGGTAAATATTATTACAATATTTATTGATCAACAAATTACAATGATTTTAATGTCCTGTCAATGTTTTTTTTTTTTTTTTTTATTATTATTTATATTGGACCCAATCACTTTTTTTTGGATGAATTTGAGTGACACTTTTAGATTGCATTCTCTGTAATCTAAAAAGCAATTGTGATCGGATGCGCATTTTTTCGCAGTATTTCTTGTTGATTCGGGCAAATTGGAAAGTACGAGAGACGAATTCGAAGCCAAAATTCAGGGTGGCAAGTTCTGCCACTCGAAATTGACCCACTTCGAAACATCGTTGCTTTTACCAACCACGGGGTTTGTTTGCTGGCCATCAGCTTTTACAAACGCGGCGGCTCCATTTCAGTTGCAACTAACTTTCCAATCGGTGTTTACCTCAATACGTGTCTGAACTTCCCATTGGCGGTACCTTAGTGCAGAAAACTTTTTAATTTACCGTCTGTCCTTCACTTTCTAACTAATCTCCAGTTTCAACTTTGATTGCCCGATTATACTAATAAAAACACTATTTTCTTCTTGGGGGGGAGGGGGTCACATTTTGAAAATTATATTTCTTTTATTCTTTTTAATATATAATTTTCCAATTAATTAATGATAAATATTTATAAAATTTTTTATTAACAAGAATTTTATTATATACAATATCATTATTTTTTATTTGTCAAAAATTTTTATCTTACAGAATTTCTCTTTACACAGTTTTTTTATTTATAATAATTCCAATTAAATCGAATTTTAAGTGATTCTAATTTTTAAATGTCAGAAATATCCAATTCTCCGAATTTTTGTTTGTACGAATTGTCATTTGTTAGATTTCTGAAAATGCCGGATTTTTCATTTGTCCGAAATTGTAAATTGTCCGAACAAACAATCGTCAGTAAAATTTCGGCGCGATTTTCTTGATAATTTCTGATTGGTCAGTTTTAAAAAATCGCGCCGAAATCTTACTGCCGTTTAGTTTGTTCGGACAAATGAAAATTCGTCGTTTTAAAAATTCTATCAAATAACAATTTGTGCAAATAAAAATTCGGACAATATTGAAAATTTTTACATTCAAAAATTTGAATCACTTAAAATTCAGTTGAATGAGAATTAAATTCGGTACCTAAAACTTTGCTTAAAAATAGAATTCTGTTAAATGTTGATTCGAAAAATAAAAAATTCGTTTATAAAGTAATTATATGCAATAAAATTGTTAAAAATGAAAATTCTGTTTAATGATTTTTATGGGATAATCATTGTGTACAGTTTTCATGTATAGAGTTTGTGTATAGAATTAATACCACCCCAAAATATAAAGCTTGAAATTTATTTTATAATGAAGTAATAAATTATATGTTTATTATAATGTTAATGATAGAAACGATAAATTTGAATAAAAACATAATCATAACTGAAAGATTTAAATAATGCGAAAGTAGTTTTTTAAAAAAATGCTACTCTTTAAAAATGTCGTTAGTGGGTATTAATTTTTTTTTTTTTTTCTTAATTTATTATTATTTCGTGTTTGCGATTTGTGTGTAACTCGGTTGATATATACGTTTTGAAACGTGCCTGTTATCGGAAGTAGTTCAATAAATTTTGCGATCAAGGAACAGTTAACGAGATACACTCGAGGTGATAGAGTTTCACTATACACGCAATCATTGCAAAAGTGTTTACACTAGGATCGATGTAAACATCTTTGAATTTTTTTTTCTATTTTGTACACGATTCTTTGTCATTCACTCAAAATAAAAACAAATATTTAATAACAAAACAATTTTTTTTTATTGTTGCTACGGGAATTTTTAGAAAAATCAGGGAAGAATACTGGAAAAATGATTTTAAATATGTAAATTTTATTTTTGTGTAACAATTTTTTTTTTCGTACAATAAATAATTGTTAGCATATATATATAAACTGTTTTAGAAAATAATTATATATTTAATTTAATTTTACGAATTTTTTATTTTTCAGTTTATTTACAAATAAAGGACAGGACGGATTTTTGCAGAAGTAAAGGAAACAGAGATCTTTGATAGTGGTCCATAGAAGGTTTAGGAGAAGGAAATTTACTCAACGTGGGATTTGCCGATCGGTGAGTCGTTATTTATTTAATCATTTGCATGATTGAGAATTTTTGAGTTTAGGTATATGATGGTCGTTTCGCACGGTACGTTAACCATAGCCTAGGTCTTTAGGTTCGATAGGTTTATTTCTTAACTTTGTCCATTAGTTTTTGGATTCACATAGTAAAAATTGCAAATAATTTTTAATTTAAAATTACGTTTTACTTTTAACTTTAATGAAGTAAAAGTTTTATTTTTAAATTGTAAAAAGAAATTTTCTTTTTGGCGCACGCTTTCTCGTTTAAAATTTTGACGATATGGCGCATACGATGATTGAAATGTTATTGGATCTCATCCAATACTAACGCCGGATGTCTTCCTCTTCAACACCACGCCCAATCCTATTTCCTCTGTCTAGTGAACAGTAACATCAGTCTTTTGAGCTTCCATCCCTTTGCTCATTTAATGTTTTATTTAGCCGAAACGAATAATTTTTAAATGAAAAAAAAAAAAAATGTTTGAACAAGAAAAATTCAATTCAAATCTTTAATTTGTTTTTTTGGGGCGCATGAATATCCCATAAAAATCATTAGCTAGAATTTTCATTTGTATGAATTTCATTTGACAGAATTATTTTTTAGACGAATTTTAATTTTTCGAATTAGTATTTGAGTTATCTTCTTTGTAAACGAAATTTTATTCAACAATTTTCAGGTACTGAATTTTCAATTAACATCATTTTTGTTTTAACAAATTTTTTTGTTCTCCAACTTTGTATTTTAAAGAATTATAATTTAAACCAATTTTAATTTATCAAAATTCTAATTCAACAGAATTTTAGTGATTCGAATTGTTTAATGTCAGAATTTTTAATTTATTGAATTTTCATGTGTCCGAATTTTTGCTTTTACGAATTTTCATTTAATAGAATTACTAAACCAGCGAATTTTCATTTGGCAGAAATTACAAATAGCGGAACAAACAAAAGTCAGAAAGATTTCGGCATAGTTTTTAAAACAGACCAATAAGAAATTATTAAGAAAATTGTGATTGGTCTATTTTAAAATTGGCGCCGAAATCTTTCTGACGTTTGTTTGTTCGGACATTTGTAATTTCTATCAAATGATAATTCGGTATTTTAGGAATTCTGTCAAATAAAAATTCGTGTAATTAAAAATTCTAACACATGAAGATTCGATAGTTTAAAAATTCTAACATTATACAATTCGAATCACTAAAATTCTGCTGAATGAAAATTTTGATAAATTAAAATTGGTTTAAATTGTAATTCTATAAAATAAAAAGTTGGATAACAAAAAATTTGGTAAAATAAAAATTATATTAAATTAAAATTCGGTACCTGAAAATTATGTTGAATAAAATTTCTTTTACAAAGAAGACATCCTCAAATGCTAATTAGAAAAATGAAAATTCGTCTAAAAAAAAAATTCTGTCATATGAAATTCATACAAATGAAAGTTCTAGCTAATGATTTTTATGAGATATTCATGCGCCCCGTTTTTTTTGTATATTTAATTTTAAATTATATTTTTTAATTTTTGAAATTGAAAAAATTGAATAATTTTGTGATTTGAATTTAATTGGACGTATTTTAAATGAATTTAAAGGTATATTTATGAAAATCAGAGTGTAGAGTTTATTCAAAGGCAAAGGTTTCAAGACTATAGCTGGAAAACAGCTGACTTAAGCACCTTGGTGCTCAGACAAGGAGGGTTCTCTCAGTCGCGGCGTTTCCATCCACTTGTGTACTTACCGACGCCATCTACTCACCCTTTTGACCACGGTACAACCCGGAACATGTACATGCTCTGAATAAACACATACGCGAGTTTATAAACACAACATTGCCATGTTCACCTTGGCTTGGGTGTGTATATATATATGATCTTATATATTGTAGGTGCATAGCCACGCTCAGCCACTTTCTGACACCTTCAAATTGACGTTGCAAATTTTTTTTTTTTTTGAGAGAGAGGTCGAGAGAATTTACTCCAAGTGTCATTTTTAATTAAGTTATTTTTGTGTTAGTAGAGAAAATAACTTTAAGTCAAAAAGTTACAAAATTATCGAAAATGTTGATAACAGTAGTAAAAGTGTGTTTTAGTCAGACTAAAAATTCTATGTTGAAACAGTAGTGAAAGACAAAATTAGTCAGACAATCTTTTCATAATTTTTGTCATATGTGTATCAGTAGTAGACTTTTCAAAATTTTTGCAAATAATGAAATTAGTAGTAAAAGTATGTTTTTGTTACACTAAATTTCTGTATAGTATTAGTAGTAAAAGTAATTTTCAGTTAGACAATCGTTTTAGAATTTTTGTGATTTTTGTATCACTATAGTAAAAGTAACTCTAAATTTTTAGATATTTTTATTAGTAGTAAAAGTATGTTTTAGTCAGACATTATATGTATATAAAAAATTCAGTAGTAAAAGACAGTTACAGTCAGACAATTTCTTCAGAATTCTTATAATTTCTATGAATCAGTAGTAAAAGTAACTTTTTAGTCAGATTTTTCAAAATTCTAGAAAATTTTGGCATCAGTAGTAAAAGTATAATTTTATCAGACAAAATTTTCTCTATAAATTCAGTAGTAAAAGACAATTACATCCAGACAAACATATCAGTATCAGTTGTTAAATTAACTTTAAGTTAGACTTATTAAAATTTTCGAGAGAGTTGGTATCAGTAGTAAAAGTATAATTAGGCAGACGAAATTTATATATAGTGTCAGTAGTAAAAGATATAATATCACAGAAAATTAAAAGGTATTAAAATAAGTTGCAACGCTTATTATTTTAATCCAATTTTGCTTATTTTAATCCATTTTGGTATTAAAATAAGCAAAATTGGATTAAAATAATAAACGTTGCAGCTTATTTTAATGCCTTTTAATTTTCTGTGATGTCAGTCAGACAATCGTGTCAGAATTTTTATAATCATTGTATCAGTAGTAAAAGTCTGCTTTAGTCAGCCATAATTACTATATAGATGCAGTAGTAAAAGACTATTATGTCCAGACAATCTTTTCAGAAATCTTATAATTATGTTAATCAGTGCACGGAAAAAAAGAAAAAGTAATTTTTACTACTTTCACAGTAAAACGGGAACTGTCCGAAGTTTCTGCGCATCTCTCGCAACTTTTATTCCAAAAATAGTAAAATTTACTCCAGAAATAGTAAAAATTACTACGGAACAGTAAAATTTACTACAAAAATAGTAAATTTTACTAATTTTTTTAGTAAAAGTTGCTAGAGATGCGCAGAAAATTCGGACAGTTCCCGTTTTACTATGAAAGTAGTAAAAATTACTTATTCTTTTTTTCCGTGTAGTAAAAGTAACTTTAAGTTAGATTTTTCAAAAAATTCTTGAAAATAATAACATCAGTAGTAAGTGTATTTTTTTGTCAGACAAAATTTATATATAGTATCAGTAGTAAAATACATTTTCAGTCAGACAATCGTTTTAGATTTTTTTAAAATTTTTTGTATCAGTAGTAAAAGTAACTCTAAATTTTTTAGATATTTTTATTAGTAGTAAAAGTATGTTTTAGTCAGACGTAACATGTATAAAAATTCAGTAGTAAAAGTCAGTCACAGTCAGACAATTTTTTCAGTTTTATAATTTATGAATCAGTGGTAAAAGTAACTTTAATCCAGATTTCAAAAGTTATCGATAATATTAGCATCAGTAGTAAAAGTATGTTTTAGTCGGACAAAAGTACTATATAGATTCAGTAGTAAAAGACACTTATAGTCAGACAGTCGTGTCAAAATTTGTTATCAATAGTAAAAGTTCGCTTTAGCCATATAAATTTTTCTCTATTTTTTTTGTTAGCAGTAGTAAAGGTCAGTTTTTGTCAGACAGAATTTTTTAAAATTTTAGTATAATATTCGAATTTTTCGATATTAGTAGTAGAATTCCATTTTAATAAGGGAAAATTTCTTCTAATTTTCATAATTTTATTATCAGTGACAAGTGTTTCAAGTCAGACCTTCGAAATATTTAGAATTTTTTTTTATAAGTAGTGAAATTCCGTTTATGTCAGACAAAATTTCTTTGAATTATTTAAATACTTGGAAATTTTTCGTAAGTAGTGAAATTCCGTTTAAGTAAGACAAAATTTCTTCGAATTATTAAAATTTCGCTAACAGTCATAATCAGTATTTTTCCCCGAAATCTTAACAAAAGAAGAGTATTTTCTGTGAAAGAATTTCACGTAGGAATTTGAAGTTGAGTTTATAGCTGAAGAGTAGAGGTGGTCACTGTATTCTGTAACATGTGATTTAGAGCCACATGGAGTAATGTATAAATGGTACATTTTTGTAGCCACTATAAATGAGAGAGAGAGAGAGAGAAAGAGAAAGGCAAAATATCACGAGCGACGACGACGACAACGACGACGACGAAGTATAAATCGACGAAGCGCAGACAATAAAGTTGGGTGTAAAGGCGTGATTGAATACGAGAAAGGCTTTAAAAACAGCTGCTAAAAACAGCGGGATATTGCACCTATTATTTTTTCAACATCGCACTTAATGTCCTTTCAATATCCCAAAAATCCTTTGATCCCTCGTAAACTCTCTCCTTCTCTCTCACTCTCCTCTTCGCGGTTCATTTGACATCTTTACTTTTCTATATATGCGCGTTGGTTTACTCTCATTTTAAGATCGCACACACACACACACTTTCAATACTAATCTTTTATAGTCAGTAAACATTTTTTTTACACATATTTTTTATTCTTCATTGAATTTATTTATTAAATTTATTGAAATAATAAATTTTTCATTTTTATAAAACAATAGAAAAAACGTCAAGTATGAAAAAATGAATATTATATAATTTACAAATGAAGATTTGTTAATTATTGCAACTTCGATATTTACACTGAATGCCTCATATGCATTTTTGATTAATGCCAAAATGTAGATTTAGTGTTAATTTTCATTTCACTCCCAAGTCCAATGATTGATTATTATTTTAGTTTATTATTCATCGATAATTGC